TGATCGTGGGACTTTCTAGGAGCCGCTCTGCTATTTAGTCATTCAATTAGCGCCCTGTACATCCAGGAAGGTAGCAGCATAAGGATGAGAATCGCACGAGATTGAAGAGAAAACGGCTCGTCATCCAAATCGACCGACTCGGATTGCAATATATGAGATGAAGAGAACATGATGTCCGACTGATGCGGGCAGGGCGACAGCCGCGTATGGAGAAATGCATTCGAGAACAATTGGCTATGTGATGAGCGCGCCCCTGATTTCTTGACGTTGGAGAAGAATAAGTATTGTGTGAACCGAGGACTAGAACACAGGCGACATTGATGCTCCTTACTCTGCTTGACGCATTTCTGATGCAGGTAGCTATTGACATGCGCGAGCGGTCGTCCACTGAAATGCATTGGTCGAATATCCCGTGATATGCCACCAAAAGCTCAAGATGCCGATAAGATGATAGGCTGGAAAGAAAGAAGGCTTGACGAAGGAGTGCAGTGACTAACCTGTACTTCACGCACCGCAGAAGCGTAATATGCGCCTACACGAAGCCTGGGGAGTCCGGGGAAGTGCGAGCTTGGGGATGGAGCTGTTTAGGTACACTCGAGGTTGCTACTGGTCAAGGAGGGTAGATTTTCCTGAACCGACAACCATCCAGCTTGATAACACTGAGAACATCAGTGCTTGTATGTCAAGAACAGTTCTTAACATTGGAATGATTCCAATAATGTGTAGTAATGCGGTTCATAGCGAGCGGCATCACTCGCATATCAGCCACGCCGTAACCGGGGTTGCCTTATCGCGCAAGCGCTCGCTTGGAAGAACCGCGGGCCGTCTCCATGATTATCGGTATGCCGAGGTACCTTGTTGCACGGCACGCGGGCTTGACGCGACGGGGAAGACGCGTTTCTTCCTCTGCGCAATGGAGTGCTGTATAACTGTGTGCCAACAGAACATCAATTGAGGCTCCGAGTGGTAAGCAGAAACTACGAGGCCCATTTCTGCGATGGGGCGGCCATTCTCCTACAACAGACTAATGGCCGCGGGGGAGCGGCTAGACGTCATCCTGACCGGCCTTCTCCCCACCTGTTCGGCGCTGTATCATGATGCGAGTACATAATTGATAGGGACCACGGTCTAACGGCCGCCTTCCGATGTTCACATCTTCTCGCATACAATTGAGCGTCAGGACCTTATCTACAAAAGCGCGTTGCTGTCAACCCAGTATTCCGAGGGCATTCTTGAGACCACTCGCAACCATGTCTACCGATACGACCAAGTATAAGCTAAATCACTCCATGTATGTATGAGCGTATCAATCATAAAAAGCATAGCTAACAAATGTCAAAGGCTCCGGATCAAGGATCCTAAGGCATCTGTCAAGTTCTATGAATTCCTTGGGATGATAGTTGTCAACAAGCTCGAGTTTCCCGACAACAAGTTCGATCTGTACTTTCTGGCCTATGATTCGCCCAAAGCGGTGTCTCATGGCAACCATTGGACGGATCGCGAGGGCATAATCGAACTCACGCACAACTACGGGACAGAGGACGACCCCAGCTACAAGGTCAACAACGGGAATAGCGACCCGGGCAAGGGCTTCGGCCATGTTGCGATCTCTGTGGACAACATACAGGCGGCTTGCCAAAGGCTTGAGAATGAAGGATACCAGTTCAAGAAGAAGCTGAGCGATGGGAGGATGCGGAGCATTGCCTTTGCCCTCGATCCAGATGGGTACTGGGTAGAAATCATTTGCCAGAAGCCGGTCGAAGAGACCGAAAACGTTAAGGAGACGGACACTGGCACATACCGCATGGTGAGATTTCGAGGCGCAGCATTACCAGCAACTGCGCTGACGTAGAAGCAGAACCACACAATGATCCGAGTCAAGGACGCAGAAAAATCGCTAGCCTTCTACAAAGACGTCATGGGCATGAAGCTCAAACGAGTCTCTGAGAACAAGGACAACGGCTTCAATCTGTACTTCCTCGGATACGGCCGGGACGCTCCAGATAACTCTCCCAACGGCGTCAACCCTGTGGCAGAGGACGAAGGGTTGCTGGAGATGACATGGAATTATGGAACAGAGAAAGACCCAAACTTCAAGTATCACGACGGCAATTCCGAGCCACAAGGATTCGGCCACATCTGCGTGTCTGTGGACGATTTGGATGCGGCATGCTCGAGGTTCGACGAGCAGAAGGTTCAGTGGAAGAAGCGGCTTACGGATGGTCGGATGAAGAATGTTGCGTTTGTGCTAGGTACGTCTTTCATCCTCTGAGAAGCTCAATAGCGGCATAGTCGCTAACAGTATCTGGCAGACCCGGATGGTTACTGGATCGAGGTCATCCAGAACGAAAAGTTCAAGCAGCGAAGCAACTGGTAGTGCACCGTTTGGTAATACGCTTATCAGCAGAAGTCAAACTCAAGATTGAAGCCCAAGCCAAAACTACTGACACCAATCGTTCTACACCGTCATGAAACATGTATCCATAACTGCAACTCAAGGATAATGAATCGAGCTGCCGTCTATTGCACCCAGTTTACGCGGTACGACCAGATCAACCGAGTGAAGGAGCTAACAGTAATAAAGCTTAACCTATTGACAGCGATGGCTCACCTTTGAGGATGGAGAGCTATGTTCTATTTCTTTGGAGAGGAACCGTCTGTCACACCTCCGACCATGATGAAATGGTTGAGCCGCTGCAGTGACTGGATCAGTACTCGCTATCCAACACCCCCTGCGTTCTACCAACTCCAACTTATCAACTCCGGCCTTGTAGCTTATGCCGTGTCCGCTTCATATCTTCTCGTAGTTTCACTCTTCGCAGGACCTCCCATCCGGTCAGCATCTCGTGCACTTCTTCCTGTCTTGACTCCATACCGTGGATTGCGAAATCACACAGCTTCCTCGCCAGCCTATACTCTGGCTTGTACGCATAGCGGAGGTAGTCCTTACCAACTACCTTCTCAAAAGCGTGTTTGACCTCTTGTGCGACATCATCTGGCTCGCTGCTATCGTCGGCGTTCTTGCCGTTGTCATCACAATTCCATAGCCAGGTGGGCGGTGCGCATGCCATAAATTTAGGCGCAAATATAGCATTGCCCCAACCGAGGATTGCTTCAAAAGTAACCGTCGCCTCATCCCTGATTGTGACGAGGATGTTTCGAGGCTCTAGGGCGAGGAGGCATAAGTAGTAACGGTCGTCGTCGAAGAGATCCTGCAAGGCCATTTGCCACGCCATCGCCTGCATCCGATCCCACTCTAGCTCAGTATGATCTCTGAGAGCCGACCACCGCTTCAGCTGCATCAGCAGAAAGTCAAGGGTGCTCTGGGGGTGGGACGGCTCTGTTGGCGGACTAAGATGATGGCTGGACGGTATGCGATCGGAGACTGGGAACTGGACCAGCTCCGTGTCAGAGTCCTCTTCCGCAAGCTTTAGATTCAGACTCAACAAGCCCGCAGATAGGTGCGAGTCCACCTGCATGGCCAGCAGAACCTGGCCAAAAGCTTTTGCTACCGACGCTTTTTGTTGGTGGTTTAGGGTTGGGAATACAGAGAGCAGGGTCTTTCCGGCGGTCCGGCGCTGTAAGACGAACTGCTTCCCCAGAGCATCGTCCTTCGTACAGTCGAACTCAACAATCCCCGGTGCCGGTACGTTGGTGTACTGTCGCACGTAGTTAACTGTTGCGACTTCATGCTCTATCCAGACGCTTTTGGAACGAGGTACTCGAAGCACGTAGTGCTGCTCCTCTGTATCCACAATCCTATCTTTGGATTTCAGGGCGCGTCTGACCTTCTGCAGCGCTCGTCGGCCGCGATCTCTAGGCGTAGGTATTTTGATGGTTACGCCAATAACATGGCTCCAGTCGCTGCCCTCGATTGGTTCGAATTCAATGGCTTCCTTCGGTAGAGCAGGCCAAAGACTGTGGCACAGCTTCTCTAATTGCAACTGGTATGTGCTGAAAGAACCATCCTCTTGCTTGGTGTCGGATTCCTCTGTATGAACCGATACGATATCAACTGCTGCCTCGTCAGCGGCACGAAGACTATGTGGAGCTTCCTGTCTCCTCAGTCCCTTGTGGGCTTCATCGATCGTGGCTAATGACGGTCGGCTATGTGAAGAATGATTAGAGGCGTCGTCGAGCCTGTTGTGAGCGTCCTCCGATGTAGACATCCTAGTATGGTTGATTGTTTATCCTGACAATCGATGTGAGGTAAGTGTCGAATCTGTACAGGGCACTTACGAAAAGTATGGATACGACAAGGCGAGCTATGTTGTTCATGCTGTTTTCTTGAGAACTTGTCAGCACGAATCTCAACTACGAAGCAGCCATTGCTTATTGAGATCTGTGGGTACTGAAAGGATAACAGGCCTTTGTTAGGCGGAGTATGGACAATAAGACAATGAGCGTTACAAACCGGTAATACTTGAGATCATGTGTGCCTGGATTGCCAAAGACGAAACAAAGCGGACTAAACAAGCCATTGATGGCTCACGCTGAGGCTAACGACCAACTACGCTTACCGTATACCCAAGCAGTCAAATGGAGGGAGTAATCACGTTTCTGTACAAAAAAAAGCAATCAAGGAAGCCCTGGAACAACTGGTATAGGCTACTAACAATCAGAGTGATGTACACTCATAATCCCAACAGTGAGCCCCATAGATCCAATTACCACCGATGTGTACATCCACCAGGTCGTGCAGGGTCCAGCTTTCCAACTCAAGACTTCCAACACTCCGATATCATCCATCAAATCTTCGTCCCAGCTCCTGATCTGTCACATCTCCACATCCAACCTCTCCAAACCAACCCTCACGACCCCCACTCCCAACCCTTACCGAACCACCTCCGGCCCCTTCTACTCCCAGCCCTGCCTCACAAATCTCCCTTCTCCCCCTTCTTCGCCGTCTCCTTCTGCAAATCCTCCATATGCTCATCATGATCCTGGACCTCCTGCCTATCAGCCGCGATGCCGCTCTCGCTCGAGCTAGCCAGCTCTTCGTGCCATTCGCCCTTGCCCTCTTCCTGCTTCTTCAGCTGCTTCTGCTTCGCCGCTTCCACTTCCTCGGGGCTACGCTCTTTGTCCTCTTTGAGGCGGAGGCGGGCGCTGGTGGAGAAGGCGGGGGTGGGGCGGAAAGATGGGGTTATGCGGAGGACGCGGGGGCTGAAGGCGCGGGGGAGACGGAGGAATGGCATTGTAGTTGAAGGAGAGATTGTAGTAGTGAGTGGCTTGACTGTGAGGTTGTGGAGGAGCTTCAAAAGAGCAATTGGGTTTGTAGGCGCAGTTTCTGGTGAACGGCTGTATAAGAGATGGAACTTCAATGTCAGCTATCGAGAAAACCCCAGAACTCCCATTGTGACATCATCGACCTCGGCAATTGAGCTGTGAGCCGCAACACCATGACGGCTCGTGCACCACTATCGTGATAGCAAGCACGTGATCAAGCAATCTGTCGCCTGGAGCCTTGTTTCCTTGGATTGCAGTCTCTCAGTAGAAATGTCTCCTCATCCAGCAAATACTCACCCCTCGTAAATCCCCCTAGTCCCCCTTCTCCAGCCTTGCCACAACCTCTTCCGTCTCAAGCACCTCCCCAAACGCAAACCCAAAGCCCCTTAGCCCAGCCTCATGCTGCCTCCGATTCGCGCTCCCACACGCATCACTAACCAGCCAGGTCTCAAACCCTCTATTAAACGCGCTGCGCGCCGTCGTATCGCAGCAGCAATCCGTCATGACGCCACAAACCACCACTCTAGTGACATCCCTAGCCCTAAGGAGCTCCTCCAGCTGGGAGGGCGCAGAGACAGAGCTCGTAGAGGGCACGATGCCCAGGAAGGCGTCGTAGGTATTCTTTGCAATAATAAGTGGAGCCTCCCCTTCCTTGCTATCGTGCCCAGACGAGGCGTCGGCGTCGGCGTCGGCATCAACGAGTTTCTGGACCGCAGGCATGAGCTTCCAGTCGTGGCTGCCCTTGGCGATCGAGCCGTCGGGGCCCCATTTACGGACCAGCTGGTTCGTGAACGGGGACGTGAGTTCTGCTTTGCTGTGGCCGTGCTGCGTGAAGATACGGGGCCAGCCTTTGGAGGCGAAAAAGGCGTGCAGGTGCTGGATTTTGGGGAGGGCGGCTTTGGTCATGGGGGCGAAGATGTTTTGCATATCGATTATTAGGAGGGCGGGGGGCATTGTGGCGTTGGGAAAGTGAATGTAGTTGCAAGTTTTAGTTGATGTGTTTGGGGGGTTGATGATAGGGAGAGCTGGTTGTTTGGACGGTGACAGTAGACAGTAAGAACAGGATCTGATGTACTTCACTTACGCTTCAGAACGACATTGAGCATCACAGTGCGGGGAAGCTTTAGCAGCTACATGCAGGCGGGGCAGCAGCTCGTAACATGTTCCCAGAATGGCTACGTCCTCGAAAAAGTATTGTAGGCATATAAAGTGGCTATTCGTTGCAGCAGCGTGGCAGGGCAACGGTGGCTAAAAATTCAGAAGAGATGTCGAACAGGTATCAACTTCATCTTACGAGGGCATGCCTCACGCTATACAATCATCTACCGAGATGACAGAGGCTCAAAATGCTCAAACAACCGATCCTCATGTCCCAGTGGGTCCTCCAAAGGATATCCTGCCCCCGAACGCCAATCGCTCTAGCAATGTCATGCCCAGGTACCTCATATAACGCCATAGATGCGACCCGGTAACTTCCTCCATCCCCGATTCAGCGCTGCGAGAGGCCCTGCCGTTCATAAAAAACAATATATGCCTGCTCGTTCTGAAGCCTGTCCTGGCCCCTTAACGCTGCAGGATCAAAATCCCTAGTGCGTTCATCATTGTACTCTCGCCAACAGCCCCTGCCAGGGTCCTTCACCATAGCAATGTAATGCCCCGAGGTCATCGTCGTGCCGAGATGCCGCATGACAGCATAGGCATTGTAGAGATATGGCGGCTTCATGGCCTCATCTATTCGGAAGTTCGTTTGGAGGCTTTCCGGACCATGACCCCGCTCTATGTATGCTGTCTCCTCCGGGGTGGGCGGCGGAAGCATGTATGGTGACAGGTCGAGTCCGTGGAGGGGAAACTCAATGGGCGTCCGCACCTTCCGCGCTTTCTCTTGGTGGGAGGCTGAGAAGCGCTTGAAATGCACAACGAGGTGCTTAGGTGCTCGGGTGAGTGTGATTTGCTTCGTAGCCTCTCGTTCTTTCTTGCAATGCGGGCAGCGCCATACTTCATCGCCGGACAGCATCTCTTCCGCACAGTAAGAGCGAAGGCAGTCACGGATGTCTGCAGTACCAGAGCGTGGGATCTCGACTGATATGGAGTAGAACGCTTCATAGGTTGTTGATGTGTTTCGGCAGGTGGTACATCGCAGTTGGGAGGCATGCTGGCCGGCGAAGCAGTCGGTGATGATGCTCCTTTCGCGGTTGATGTAGCGGCCCCACTCTACAAGAGCAGCGTACGGTTTTGGCATCTTCTCGCGTATCGCTTCTTCTTTCTCAGTGAGCGCGCGCATGGGCGGCCTCGCCCAGTGGGAATTGAGGTCTTCATGGACGAAGTCGATGAGGAAGTCGAAGAACTCTTTGGCGTCTTGCTGGCGATCCAGACCCCATTCTCGATTCAGGCGCGCACAAAGGCTCTGTATAATCTTAGCGCTACTATCTAATGCTTGCGAGGGGTGTCTTACTCTGAACGTTGTAGGCCGGCAGGCCTGGACGTCATTCTTCCAGAGATTGTCAAGAAGTATGCGGTAATGCTCCGCCAGGATACCCTTCGACCCTTTCCAGTTGTCCGGCTGAAGGTCCTTGCGAAAGCTGTCGTTCTTGAACTTCGCGGTAAGCGGTAAGGTCGCACTCAAGCATTGTATTGTCGCATTCATGTAGCAGGTTGAGCCAAAGTTGATGAGTCCAGTCCGTGGTAGTCGAGCGGTTTGGAAAACTTCATTGGGCGGGACATAGTGGTGGAGATGGGAAGAGCGATCGGAGGTTGCATATGAGCCAGCGGCTCGGTCATACACCCCACTGTAACTGACACGAGGAGCTGTCGGAGCAGGACGTGAGGGCATCGAGGGTATTGTAGGGGCATGGTATTGCGGTATGGGAGGCGGTGCCGCACGCGGAGGTAGAGACGCCATTGACTGCTGCTCGACGGCAGCTGCTTCAGGAAAGCGGCGCAGGAAATCCTCAGTCGTCCTAAAGTAATCAGGCGACTGTTCGCCATCGTCATAATCGCCATCTTCCTCAACTGCGTTTGGACGCTGTTCGAGAGCAGCTTGTTCGGTTCTCGCCCTTTCGCGCCACTTCTGCTCCTCTTCAGCATCTAAGGGATTGTACTCGCGGGTCCTCCGTCTCTGAAGGTAAAACTTTGAGCTACTCATGGCCCTAGCGCCTCGTGTCATGGGCTGGCCTGGTCGACCGGCTCTCTGAAGTGATACTATCGCTGCGGTGTCCGTAGCTTTGAGTGCAGAGTTGCCCAGTAAGTCGGCCCAAGCTTCAATTCCACCTTTGAGTAGGATCGGCGGTCGTTGCAAAGGTTTCTCCTCATTGAACTCATACAGCGCGTCGTAAAGAAATTTCATGGCAAGCTCGCTGTCAGTCCTGTTGTATCGATCAAAGAATTCAATTGAGGGAGTGTCTTGATCATAGTAAACGACAAGATCATAGTCATGACGTCGATCGAAGAAAGTCTGCTCTTCTTCAGGGGAAAGGACAAGTGCATCTGCGAGTTCCTCGGCGGACATGTGAGATCGTAGCGCGGCGGGCTCGACGCACAGAATGCTGTTGCAGAAGATGTGGCCATTGTCAAATTCCTCTCGGCTTCTGACGTCTATCAAAAGAACCCTGTACATGGTCAAGTAATCGTAAAGCTTGCGAGCCGTTATTTGGGATTCTCGAGGAAGATGGACGGATTTCCGACGGCTACTTCCTGGCCGACCAGTCACTGCGCTCTGAGAATAACGATCGAAGTCGCCATTGGCGCCAGGTGGCTGGAGCATTGCACCGGCAGCTGCCATTGAATTACTTCGTCCCCCAGTTCCTACAATGCTTCGCGCGGTACTTCTCGGCGGGTTGATGCTTGACGGAGTCGACATATTGCGGGCAGGGTTGTATGCCGGAGTCGGCGCCTCGGGCAGTGCCGTTGAAAAGCTGTTGTCCAGCGGCACTTTTGGTGGATGCGGTGGCCCTCCTACCTCTGCAGACATGTCACGGGGTCCCATCGGACGACCGGATGGAGGAGCGGTAGTTGTCGGTCTGAGGCTGGAGAAGGACGAAGCAGAGTTATAATCGGCAGGCGACGGCATCTTCACAGATCCGCCACTGCCTGAAAACTGCGACCCTTGCGAGTCTGGACGTGCGCCGGCGAAATTTGCTGCTCCGTGGTCATTCGCGCGCAGTCGAGCAAAGCGTTCGCTGAGCGCATCTCCGGAAAGCTGCGATCCGTTTGCGCTAGCACCGTTTGTGCCCAGAGCCCTGCCATGCAGAGCTTGCGGCTTTGGATGTATAGGCGGTCTGGATACCGAGGAGCCAGAGTAGTTTGTAGGCGTGGAGCGGCCAGACGCTGCGCTCACCTCTATCGACCTTCGGGGAGACAGTAGACTATCATCATAGTAGGAACTCGGGTTTGGCGGGTCCGGCATTGAATATCGCGGGTTTTCCTGGTAAGGTGCTCCACTGGGTCCGAGCACCGTGTCCGCTTGCCGCGCCCCTGGTACAGATACTCGCGGCTGCGTGGCATCTCGAGCGTATGGTACGGCCCGCTGGGCATCTTCCCGCCTACTCTCCTTCACTATTATCTCCCTAACTTTCTCGAAACGCTCTTGCTGTGCGTACAGGTTCTGTGTCAGGAGCTTGTAGGACTGATAGAGCCGGCCTCTGTCACCTTTCAGGAGGGGTAGATCCTTATGGCGTGCTATGACCTTGACCACGATCTCGTATGCAACAAAGTACTCGACGTATGCTTCTTGAGGCTTTCGGAAAGCTAGCAAGGCTTCCGCTTGCCGGCAACTGTGTTCTGCCTCGGCCAGAAGATGCCCAATGGTCGCATACGGATTGATACGGCTCTGGGCTTGCAATTCGAGGTCGCGAATGTCTGTAGGAGGCCGTGGCGGCCGGGCGCCAGCATCGGTCGCGCCATGTCCATGGCCGTTCATGGCCAAGTTCAGGGAAAGAAGGGGCGATGGACGGGCAGCGGTGCGACAGCGCTCACGGCGAACGCAGGTTTGAAGTTGTTCCCCTCATTATATGCGCGGAGGTGGGGGTTGAGTCCTCTGGCGGGCGACAGCTCGTAGAGCAAGTTTGGCGGTCAGCGTAGCTGATCTTGCGGAGGCGGTAGCGGGGGGTCGCAGAGGAGGCGGTGATGCTTCTGGGCGTTGTGCCAGTGCTGATGTGGGGATGGAACTCGTCAGGAATGACTATGGCGGACGCCGGAGGTGGACCAGGAGTATTTGACGTGCCTAGGGCGTCGTATGTCTGGGGCGTCGTATGCCTTCTGCTCCCCCACGGTCTTGGACTGCGGGAAAGATGATGCGGCGGTGGTGGCGGCCCGGGCACCCGCGTTAAGCTTCCGCCTAGGTCATCAGCTACCTGGCTGGACTGCTATCACCCACGGATCTCATACCAACACCACTCGCTGTGTGCTTTCAATCTACTCGAATACCAGCCTTGACCCTGGATCTCCCACAGCGTTTCCGCCTATATCCTGCCCCTCCAGAACAGCTTCCTCCATCCTCACCGTCCATTCAGTCTACACCACCATGGCGGGCTGGTTCGCATCCACCAACTCCGCGCTCGACGAGCAAGTCGACCGCGCAACAGCATCGAGCTTGTAGGCTAGACTCCGCAGTGCAGCTTATGTACATGGAACTAACTTGGCTCAGAGAAGACATAGCACTGAACCTAGAGATATCAGATATCATTCGATCCAAGACGGTGCAGCCTAAGGAGGCTATGCGCTCTCTAAAACGGCGTATCGGCCACAAGAACCCGAACATACAGCTTGCTGCGCTGAATGTAAGCCTCAGTATTCTCCGCTGTGCACTTCCGCCCCAACGCTTGCTGACCGTAACTCAATCCAGCTCACAGACACATGCGTCAAAAATGGCGGCTCACATTTCATGGCGGAGATAGCGTCCCGCGAGTTTATGGACAACCTGGTCTCTCTAGTAAAAGTGTACGGGGGAAACGAAGATGTCAGGAACAAGATTCTGGAGTTAATTCAGACCTGGGCAGCTGGTGCTGAAGGGCGGAGTAATCTCATGTACATCAACGAGGTATACCGATCCTTGCTGCGGGAAGGCTTCAGGTTCCCCCCGAAACAGGATGTTGCTAGCAGTATGTTCGACAGTAGTGCGGTAAGTCGATAGCTGGATCTTGCAGATGTTAATGACGCCAGCTAACGCTCAATTCTCTTATAGCCGCCAGAGTGGACAGATTCTGACGTGTGCCTACGATGTCGAACGCCGTTCACTTTCACCAACCGAAAACACCACTGCCGAAACTGCGGTGGCGTCTTCTGCGGCTCGTGCTCCAGCAAAAATATCCCACTACCACATCTCGGAATCTTGGCGCCAGTGCGCGTAGACGACGGGTGTTATTCTAAGCTTACTGATAAAACCCGTGCAACCCCGGTACCGAAGGGCTTCGATGCGGCTAAGCCGGCGCGGACACTCTACCAAGGATACCAAGGGTCAATGGAACCCCGGAGTGCGAGGGTGGAGGACAGCTTCGACGCCGACCTCAAACGGGCATTGGAAATGAGCTTGGAAGAAGCAAAAGGACATTCTGGTGGATATGTCCCGCAGTCGCAGCTCCAATCCCAGGCGAAGTCTCCGGCGCCAGTCGCAAACGGATCATCGAAACCATCGAAGGCCAAGCAAGAGGAGGATGACGATCCCGAGTTGAAGGCAGCTATAGCGGCTTCACTGGCGGACATGGAGGAGCAGAAGAAGAAGCACGCAGCGGCGCTCAAACAGCAATCATCGTCTTCGAATGGAGCACCTCTCCCTGTGCCGCGGCGTAATGACTACGAGCTGACACCAGTGGAGGCCGAAAACATAAACCTCTTCTCTACGCTTGTAGACCGGTTACAACACCAGCCGCCCGGTACCATTTTACGGGAGCCACAGATTCAGGAGCTCTACGAGAGCATAGGCAAGCTCAGGCCGAAGCTAGCAAGGACGTACGGTGAAACAATGAGCAAGCACGGTATGTCTTCAGGTTGGTAGGCCTAGGCGGGACTCCACTAACATATGCAGATACTCTCTTGGACCTCCACGCCAAGCTCTCCACTGTTGTCCGCTATTACGACCGCATGTTAGAAGAGCGACTATCAAGTACATACTCGCAACAAGCGGCCGCGTACGGCTACCCTAGCATGCAGCGACCAGCCTCCAGCCTCTACCCGAGCATACCTTCCGGAGCACCAGATGGCAATGCAGGAGCCGAGAGCTACTATACCGGGAACGCTGCTCCATCAGATCCGTATGCGCATCCTCAGTCTACTTATGGTGGATACACGCAACAGCCACAGTCACCTTACATGCGGCACGACAAGCAGCCGGCAGCCTACAGTGCTAGGGCCCCAGTACAACAGTATCAGCAACAGGGCTACCCCGCCCAAGCGCCCTACCCCAATACGCCGGCTCCACATCAGCTGCAGAGGCAGCCAAGCGCACCATACCCATCAGCGCCTTCCATAGATGGCTCACCACAGCTCCAGCGACGGACATCTTCTTCACAATACCCCTCACAACTACCGCCGCAGTACGCGGCATCACAGACGCCATCGCAGTACGCACCATCTCAGCCCCCGATACCAGACGACCCGAACGCGGCATACTACTACGGCAACCAGCCCGAAGCCCAGCTCGCCGCACCACCAGCACAGCAGCAGGCCCCCGCAGAGGCTCAAATCCCCCAAGCACCTCAGGCTTATCCCGCCCAGCCTCCACAACAACAGCCCTCACAGCCGTCCCCAGAACTATACCAACGCCTGCCTCAACAGCAGCAGCAACATCAACCGCCGGCGCAAGCGCAATTGCAACAGCAACAGCAGGCACCAACATACTACCAACCACAGCAACAACCACAGCCGCAGCAACAGTGGCCGCAAGCACCTTCGACGCAGGCGGGCTATGGACAGGAAGCTTTCCCAGTGGCGCCGCAGCATCAGCCGCAGGCGCCGAAAGTGGAGGAGGCGCTGATCGAGTTGTAGGCGGCTTCCTTGTGGCGTGGGCGGTTGGGGCGGTACGGTCGGTGGAGATCATTTGGTGTGAGGTGTTTCGGGTGCTTTCCTACCGCTGTAAATGGGCATCGTCGAGAGCGTTGCGCTTGTTCAGGAAAAGTAGGGGGGAGTTCGGATGAGCGGCAGCACAGCTTTTTAGAGTGTAAAGCCCAACGCGCAACATGTGAGCAAGCGGATGCTAGAATTGTCATGTCACGGTGTTCTTGTGAGATAGCTGCGATAATGATCGGACGGCTTCTCAACCCATGGCGCCCCTGAACCACGCCCCCACATCCTCGATGCTCCTCCTCCATCTCTCATCTCCACTACTCCGCCCCCACAACCCAACCCTCGGCACCGTTTCCAGCACGACCTGCTTCTCCGCCTCCGCTTCCGCCTGCGCCCTCGCTGCACCACCCTCTCTCGCCCCATCCTCCCCAAGACCCTCACCGCTCTCCCCGGCCGATCTCAGCCCATCCAGATACTCCGTCTTTCCCCCACCGCCGACACCGCCGTTCCTCTCACCCTCCCTGACCACGGCCCGCCGCATGTATTTCACGAACTCGACCCCCTGATCCCTGAGCACGCTCTCCTCACCCACCGTGACACGCATGTTCGGGAGGCGCAGCCCGGAGCCCGTGGGTGGGTATACGCGGGGTGACTTTCTGGGTGGCGGGGCTGCTGTCTCGGCGTCTTCCCGGCTGGATGAGGACGGGGTCGAGGAGGGAGAGAAAGAAGTCAGCACAGGCGGCGGCGCTACCCCCGGCGTGCGGAAAAACAGCAGCGGCGACGCGAAGGGGTCGAGCCACGCGTCCGGGCTCCTGAAGAAGCGGTCGCGCGCGGCGAGGAGGGTGGAGGCGGGGAGGAGGGGGTTGGAGGCGTGTTGGACGTGCGAGGGGACCGGTTTCGCCTTGCCCCTTTTCTGGGCTCTGGGCACGATGTCCTCGTCCGTAAGATCCGTATCCACTGCACTCCGCGACGGAGGCGCAAATACCCAGTCCACAATCGGCTCGGCGACAGCGGCCGCGACGATGCGGCTGCCGCCTAGGCGGCACTCGGTCAGTGCCAGCATGGTCGCGAGGCTTCCCCCCATCAAGCTCCCACAAACTCCAATCTTGAGCACCTTTTCGCGCTTCGTGGCTCCATGACGCGTGACCCAGCTGGGCGCCAGATGTCGCACGATCCAGTCGTAGCCGGTCAGGACGTCGTGGATGGGCGTTGGGTACTGGTGTTGCGAGGAGAGGCGGTAGTTGAGCTGGACGACGGTTGCGGAGGTGTTCGAGGCGAGGGTTGAGGCGACGATCGAGTCCGGGGTGGCGGCAGAGGTATTAAAGTGGGCTAGGACGGGTCCGGGAGGGAGGTAGATGATTATTGGTGGGTGGGCGGAGCGGGTGTTGGTTAGGGGGTGGTGGATGCTGTTGTGCGACGTCAGCCTAGTATGCATCGAGATGGCGTTTGCTGCCGCCGCAGGTTGAGGCACATGTACTTAAGCGTGATGCTGCCGCTGGAGCGGCACTTGATTGTGATGTGTTCCGATTGAGGTCGGGTCAAGATGTGGGCAGAGTAGCCGCGCCGGGCATGGATAGACGTCCCGTGCAAGCCACATAGCTCTCGCTGACCTCGCCCGAGCGCGCACAATACTCGAGGCAGGACACACAGCGAGTCTCGCAGCGGTGGCCGCAACATACAAATACCACGGAGGCGCACAATGCGGCGTGAGGTGGTATCGAAGGATGCACGCTAATCTGAGCCTCGCAGTGCTAAGCATCGCCAAGGCGGTTAAGGCGTCGATGCACGCGTCGCTAGTCAGGGCCGATGACATGGCTTGCATGGCCAGCCCGGAAACCGGATCAGCCGGAATTGTGGGAGAATCTTGATGTCTGGTCGCTCTCCTGTCACTCGCTCTTCCAAGCTTGCGTGTCGCACCACTGTCCTTCTCGTCTTCTTGTCTTCTCGCCTTCTCCTTCATTACGGCCTCATCACTCTTCTGGCAGCCTTCACAGTAGACTTTTAATAATATGGTGTGACAGCAGCCGTCTGATTCTCCTGCCTTTTTCGACACTCCTTTACAGCTCGTGTGCTCACCTACGCTGCGCTTTTCGCCCCTAGACTTTGCCTGCACTTCGAACCGGTTCTACCGTTGACAGCTCATCCTGGACGATCGGATCTTTCCTGAACCAATAACCTATAATACAATACCCGGCCACCCTGACGCACTGGGGTAGCACAGGAGCAACTTGACGGACGGCGACAGGCAAACTCGTATCACCTCAGTCCTCGACCAAGCGTTGGCAAAGACTCAAAAGCTACGGGAAAGCAGCCCTAGCTGGTAAGGCCGTACTGCCACCTATCGTCGAACAAGTTACGGCCAGCACACTTCAAACCCCAGTTGCGTTGTCAAACATCTCCACTATGCCAGAAGGAAGCCGCACACGAGGCTTTTGCGTCCTCCTCCGCAACCTCATCCTAGCCGTCCTCCTCTACGCCGCTATCTTCGGCATCATCGAAGTCTCCCGAGGCCGCTCTGTTCGCGCAAAAGGCAAGCTCGGCATACCAGCCTTACTGAACAAGTCCGGACCCGCGAACATAGTCAAGCAAACCAAGTCGAAAGTCACGATCAAGTTTGGAGGCTCACCGGACGCCATAACAATCAACCCACACGCCAACGTCTTCAACCGGCCTGCCAGCGCCGTTGCGCCCAAGGACGACTATCTGGGTCTACGACCGCATGTAGATACAGAGGCAGATCTCCACTTGCTAGTCGAGGAGTGTCGGGGAACTTACACTGGCTTGGAGAAGATGAGGAATGTCTTCGACTGCCTTCAATTTCTGGCAAACGGCGAAGACAGATACTACCTACTCCCCGAAAAGTCCGATCGTGCGTCAGAACAGGACCCTCAACACGCCGAATATAACGATGCGGATGGTCATGGCAACACCTTGTCCAAATACGTCCCTGTTGACAAGGCCCAAAAGCCCTCGAAGGAGAGCATAGGCACCTGCCCTGGCCCAATCATACCGTACCACACCTACTGGACCGGTCCAGCGACATGGCGTGTCGAAGTCTTCATCAAAGCATACCTCCACACCCAGAACCTCGCTTGCAGCCGCCTCTGGATCTGGCTGGACAGCGACAAGAACCCCAACGCCGTGGAGGACATGCTCACACGCGATGCGCTGTTCGCGCGATTTTTACCGCTCGTCGAGCGCGGCGACATACGGCTTATGCCCTGGAACTTTCCCAGCCGGATTCCGCTCCCCAAGAACACGGACGGCACAGACAGCATCAGCTACTACAAGACACCTAGCAAGCCGAACGCGCTTGGCGAGACTAAAGTCGCAGATGGCATCACCGGAGATGCGGACGGCCAGCAGTGGCTAGTGCTGACACCCAAGCAAATGACCTTCCTCCCCGTCGCTGTCTCAGACGCCGTCCGCTTCGTGGTCCTCCACATCCACGGCGGCGCCTACTTCGACATGGATGTCCTGATGCTGCGGGACATGCGGCCGTTGTTGTTGCCGAAAGAACACTCCTTTGCAGAGCGCTGGGCCGCGCACTCGCATCCGGGAGACTACAATACGGCCATCATGTCGCTCACAGCCAATAGCTCGCTGTCCTCGTACCTGCTGCGCGGAGGCGTACGGATGGGGCTGAACTTCCACCCCCGGGTCATTGGACGCATGGCGTGGAAAGACGGCCGAGATCAGGAGTTCTTAATGTTGGAGACGGCGGCGTTTGACCCCATCTGGACGGAGTTTAATTGGGACCGGGAGGGCAGGTGTACGGTGCCTTGCTTGAGGGACTACTCGGCCGCATTTAAGGGAAAGGCTGGAGCTGTCAAGGATGAGTGGGAAAGCTTCGACAGACCGCAGCTGGAGCGTATAGGTGCAGGCACGACGGTTGAGTTGAGGGCGCAGAAGGCCGACGGCGACTCCGGCTCCTCCTCCGCTCTTGAGGCGCCTTCGGGCCGGACTCACCACCGCCGCAACAGGCACAAGAACGACGATCTGCGAGCGTCTTCGGCTGCGCAGGGCAAGCAGGCCCCGCAGGACGGCTTCAGCCCCACCAGCGACGAGGAAGCCGAGCTCAGACAAGCGGGCGTCGTGGCCGACTACATCCTCGAAGAGGACAAGTTCCCGCCCAACAACCGGACGCTCGAGAACTTCTTCCGTGGCGCGTGGACGTATCACATACATAATCAGGTTAGCTAAACCCCTTTCCCCCTTCCCTTCGCACTCTCCAATATCTTTCTCTTTCGGTGCTGCTGGTACCACACTCCCATGCGAAAGGGACAAAACATACGGAACTTGAACTGACCATCTCACCAATCAGTGGCTCAAACACCCCGAACCTTCCTCCTGGATCAACGTCCTCGAGCAGGCCCATGACGGCTTCCTAGCGGGTCGCCGCACGAACCCCTACGGTGAGAAGTGGGACGGTCCGCCGGTGGCGCCGTACAACTACTGGCCGGAGTTTGTATGATGTGCAGAAACATGTACTTGCAGTTGTCTAGAACGGTTAGGCGCTTTGACCATAGAGGGATTTGGGGAAGGGCTACTAGGTCGGGCGTTTCGAAGTTTGATGCATTTTTCCTGGGCGTTTTTCAGGGGCTCTTCTGATCGAGCCCCCTGGGCGGTACAGGATTGTTACCTGACTGTTACCTGACTGTTCTTTGCTGTTCGGCGAATCTTTGGCGAGGTGGTTGTGTGCTCTTGTCATCGGGGATTCACTTGAGAAGGGGGGGAGGAGGGTAGTGGTGGATGCCATACATGGGCTGGAAGGCCGAGCATCGAATGCGAACAGCTCCGAACTGTTCGGCTAGGGGTTCGCCGTTGAGGGCGTTGCCCGTGCCTCTTCCCAGATAGCTGAAATGAAAGGAGCAAAGGAAACCTCAATGCCCCCCTCGCGTATGCCGCAGACCCCATCCAAAAAGCGAAAACAAATCTCAGCCCTCTCGTCTATCCGGTTGTGGATCGCGAGCCCCTGCTACGCTGGCACCTCACAAAGTAACAACACTCGCCTCCAAAACGCCCTCCTCCCCAATCAAACTCCTAACAACCTCGTCCTCGACCGGGCGATCCACGCCCAGAATCATGAGCGCCTCGCTGCTCCTCTCAGCCTCAGCCCCGTCCTCCGCCGCCGGCGCATCGACCGGCGCCACAGTCATGAGATTGATATTCACGCCCGCCTTGCCGAGCTTACTGCCCACAAACCCGATGCGCCCGCACGAGTCGAAGTTGCGGCAGATCAGCAGCGTGCCCGACGGCGAGATGTTGGTGCTGAAGCGCCCTAGCCGCGATATGTACGGCAGGTTCCCGGACACGAAGCCTTGAATCACCTGGTCCTCCTGCTGCTGCTGCTGCCGTACATCGGCCGCCGAGCTCTGCTGCCTACTCAACGTGCCCCTCTCCTGACTGCTCGGCACGCTACTCGTGCGCCTCGTCCGCGCACGCAAGGTCACGAAGCTCGTGTAGCCCTTCTCCTCGACGTCCTCGCGGCTCCGGTTCTCGTTGATCAGGATGCCGCGCTCCTTGGCGACGAGCTCGGCGTTGACGATGTTGACGTTCAGCCCGTCGAGCGAGGAGATGGGCGCCAGGATGCCCTTGACCAGCGCCGCGAAGAGCGGCTTCGTGGTATTCAGACCGGCGAGGCTGCCCTCGTACGTCAGGTCGAAGGTGGTGCGGAAATTGCCGCTCCCGCCCGGCCGCCGCGCGCCCGAGGCGAAGTGCTGCGTGTAGAGCGAGCCCATCTTCTCGACCAGCGACACGAAGGGCTGCAGCGTGCGGTATTCTTCTGGTAGGATTAGGGGCGCGTTGACGGCTGAGCGGGGCAGCTGGCCCGACAGGATACTCAGCACTTGCTCGCACACGTCGATGGAGACGTTTTCTTGCGCTTCGACCGTCGAGGCGCCCAGATGCGGCGTCGCGACCACCTTGGGATGCGCGATCAGCCTTGCAGCCGGGGAGTCCGGGCCCGGCGGCTCGGAGGTGAAGACGTCCAGCCCAGCGCCCGCGATGGTGCCGGCGGACAGCGCGTCCAGCAACGCGGTCTCGTCGATCATGCCGCCGCGCGCGACGTTGAGGATACGGGCTGCGGGCTTCATGGTCGCGAGCTCGGCGGCGGAGATCATGCCTTTTGTCGAGGCGATGAGCGGCGTGTGGATTGTGAAGAAGTCGGCGGCGGTGAGCAGGCTCGCGAGGTCGGGAAGGAGGGTCACGGCGGCGGCGGCTGCGAGGGAGGTGTTGGCGTACGGGTCGTAGGCTATGAGGTGCATGCCCAGGCCGCCGGCTATGCGGGCGACGGTGAGGCCGACTGGGAGAGTGGTCAGCGGGAGTTGTTTTTAATGGGAGAAGGAGTACCCACCCTTCCCGAGGCCGACGATGGCCAAGGTCTTGCCTTTCAGCTCTACGCCTACTAGTCTGCTCCGCTCCCATTTACCGGCTTTGATGCTTGCGGACGCTTCGCTTACGTTGCGGGCGACGGCCATCATCACTGGGAAAGAAGGTCAGCCGGACACTGTCCCGCTACACGAGGGAGATAACAGTATCCCTACAAGCAATGGTATGCTCCGCAGCAGCATTGATGTTGCCTGACGGCGAGTTGACAACAACAATGCCATTCTTCGTCGCCGTCTCCACATCCACATTGTCCACACCTACGCCGGCTCGAGCGACGACTTTCAGTCTCTTCGCGGCATTGAGGAGCTGCGCGCTGACCTTGGTCTCGGATCTGACGATGAGGGCGTCGTAGTCTGGTATTATCTCTAGCAGTTGCTCGGGGCTCAATCCCTTCCGTTCGTGGACTTCGAGCGTGGCTGAGAGGAGGGCAAGGCCATCAGGGGAGACTTTTTCGGGGATCAGGACTTTTGGCCTTGGAGTCATGGCGCCGTTGGTGCCGTTGCTGACTGGCATCGTGACTTGTGGACACCGAGGTGTCTTGTGTCTGGCAGAGGTTTCCGAGGAGAGTCGTCGAGAAGGTAAACACGAAAGCCTGGAGATGACGCGACCTTGATATTTTCTTTAGCGGGTTTCATGGCCCGCTATCGGCGGGAAGGCGTGCAAATCAGCTGGGCGGCGGCCGGCCGCTGCATGGGCTGCTGTCGCGGCTTTGACTCTCCTGTCATCGAGCAAGGGAGCAATCCCCGCGGCGGGGCAAATTGATGCCCCTGCACCCCACGATCCCCCCACGTTCTCCACATCGCGGACCCTGAAAAAACGATCAACCGATATCCAGCAAGCTCGAGCTCACCTAGGCACTGCCTGTGCCCTGGGCCTAGAAGCGCTGGCTTCTCTAGACCAAAGGGAAGAAAAAGGACCAGCGCACGACCCTTTGGCCTGCATCAAAGTTTCGGTGCAAGAGCATCAGAGGTTTCCAGGCAAATATCAGCCTTGCGGGAGAGGGCGCTGCGTTACAAATTCATATACCGCTCAAGAACATATGAAGTCCGACTGCCATGGATAGATCAACAGTTGGTAGCGTGGTTTGCGGCGTTCGCAAAGCCAGGGACTGCTCCCTCGTTTTTGGGATATCGTGTTGCCTTCATATCTCCTCTTCTACCATTTCGTCAACCGCCCTCCGAGAGAACTTAAAGGCGTGAAACCCGAGCAGTGAATATGCTTAATATGCTTCATATTGATACTCCTATCTTTATTCTAACCATGACAATCTGATGCCGTCCTGCAACTAACGAGGCAGCAAAGCCACGACGCCTTCGCACCGCCGCCCGTAAACAAAAATGACAGTATATTCAAATGCCCCGGCGATCAAGCCTGGTATCTATCCATAAAAATGACCGACGCCTACCCTACCAGACGCCGAGTAACTACCAAGCGCCCCCGAGCGACGAATGGAATAAAAGCAGACTCCGACGGAGAAAACACTGTAGATGCCGCAGACGAGGCTCGAAAGTTGCCGCAGATGCAGAAAAGGAAAACGTATGGACAGGCAAGCGTTTCAATGGTGCTGCGGTATGGACCTTACCTTCTCACCGGACTGACCGTTTAGCAACGAGTCCCTTCACCAGATACCTAATTTAGCCTCAGAGTTGACCGCTAACGCCACCCCGAACTCCCTCTCCCCCGTCTCCCTTCCTCAATACTCCTCCTCGACCCCTGCTGGTTCTCTAGCTCGCTCATCGTGAACAGCAGCGGCTCCTCATCGTCCGCCGTAGCGGCGCGGAAACTCCATCTCGACCTGCCCCCCGCCGCACCCAACTCCCTCGACGAACCCTGCGCAGACGACGAGCCTCGTCTAGCATACGCCGGGCGACCGAGTCGGCTGCGCAGAGGCAGCGATGCGCCTCCCGGCGCTCCAAAGCCCGCTGCCGACGTAGGCCGCGAACCGCGAGATTCAGGCCGGCTGCGGTCAGAAGACTCGGTCTCGACGGTGCCGTCGCCTGATTGGACTTGTGCGCCAGCCGCGGTAGTGCTGGGCTCGTGCAGGTGGAGCAGCTCGCTCAGGCTAAGATCCGGCCGCTCGTCGTTGGGTAGGCTGGCGCTGCGCATGCCGAAGCTGTCGAGCTCTTCTTCGAGGACGCGGTGTTGCTGGGAGACGGAGCTGGAACGGCGGTTGATCTGCCACGGGTGCGGGGACGTGGGGATGGGGATGGCTGTAGTGCCTTCGCGTGTTGTGGCGTCGCTGGAGCTGCCGGGGCGGGAGAGCTGTTCCTCAGGGTGCGGTGGGATGATTCGTCTGCTGCGGCTTCTGCTCCGCGTTGGCTCTGTGTCGTCAGCGAGGACGCTGTGGGCGCTCAGGCGGGAAGGAATGGCAGGTGTATGTGGTGTGTGAGGAGAGATGGGCTTCCCGGGAGAGGACGACGTTGAGACCGATGTTCCGGCAATCATGGCCGGAACACTCGAAAGCTGACGGCTCGACGAGCTCGAAGAACGATGTAGTATTAGGGATGAGTATAACGAGTCGGATAGGGCAGTCGTCGCGTTGGAGTCTTTGATACTTCGGAATTTCGAGAGTTGCGCGTTCGTCCGCCTAGTCGCGGCATCTCGGGAGGCCACATCGCTGTGACTGAAGCTTTTGAGCTCTTTGTTGCTTTCGAGCTGCTTGAGGAAGTCTGAGATGTCGCCCTCGTCCGTGTGTACGGAGCCCGAGCTCGTGCCCTCTCCCTCGTTCAGAGTGCCTGAGCCACGCTGAGCAGATGAGTTAAGGCTAGCCTTTCCGCTGCTGGTGTTGTCTTCCTCAGTTTTACTCGTACCGCCGGAGGAAAACCGACTACGTCGGTTGCCGAAGCTACTGCTGAAGCGGCTGATTGGTGCGGGCTTGGGAGAACCCGAGGCTGACGACACGATTGCTGTCTCATTGGGGATCGAAGGGGTTCTCAATGCGGTTTGCGGGAGCGCGTTCAAGGAGTTCCTGTTCCGAGCTTGCTGGAGAGCCGAGAGGCCTGAAGTCCTTGGCGCAGAGCTTCCAGGCGAGGGCGGCACGTACAAAGCTGGCGCAGGCGATGATGAGAGCGAGCCTGCTTTGAAAGGCTGGAAGGAGACAGAAGGACGTCGCTGGTAAGCTGGAACACCCTCGTTGGACCGCAGCGACGATTTGGACCCCTGTGCGATACGGTGATTAGGTGGTAGTTTTTGAGGCGGCGATTCCTGGGGCGATTGAGAGGGCATGTCCCTTACAGCTCTAAGAGCAGAAATAGGACTCGTTCCCGTCGCAGGACCAACCTGGTGGTACGTTGATAGGCTGCCATAAGCCTGACTTCGGTCCGGCTCACCAGCCAAATGGCTTCGATCGATTGGTAGCGATCCAGGTACGTGCTCTACAGCTCGCGCACCCGCAGCAAGGGACGGTTTGAAGTACGGCTCCTCAACGCCCATGAACTGCGAGCTTAAGTAGGATTCAGCGTCGTCTACCCTGAAGTCGCAGTTCATCCGGTAATCTACGGAGACGCAGAGGGGCCCGACGGGAGATTTAGAAGGACTGAATCGGTATGAATCCGTCACTGGCTCCTGAGTCGGGTGCAAAGCTAAGTTTAGGGTATCCCGTCTTGGACTCTTGAACTCGCCGTTCGATATTCGGTATTTCGGCCTTAATGAAGGTATAGTAGCAGGCAACTTAGCGATGTTTCGATAGTACTTCGAAGCCGGAAGCAGCAAGCATTGGGTGTAGAGAGACCTGAACAAGACGACACCCCTCTTGTAAACGTTCGGAAGTGGATCCTGAGGCGTCTCAGGATCGGTAACGACCCTGTCTCCAACTTCAATACACCAACGCTCTAGCACAACTTGGGTTAATTTCTCAGGGAGGCGCGTCGGCTTTGGGTTGAAGTCCGCAGACTGATTGAGCGCTTCCCTGACATCCCATGCCTTATCATCTTGGTCGAGTATAACCAAGGTCTGATTAGGAGCAAGGTCCTCTAAGTCCAGGTAGATTTCTACGAGAAGGCGAGGTGTCCGGGCCTCGATGACGTTCGCCTGCCTCCACTCCGCTAGATCGTCTAGGAGTGCATCGGTCTCTTCTATGACAACGTTGAACTGCGAGAGTGTTAGTATGCTTCTTTGAATAAGTATCTGACCATGTCCGATCGACTGGAGACAAGTCCGGAGCAATTTTTACAGGTCCCAATGCAACACATCCAGACGGAACGTATGTCATACATACCCATTTGTTGTATCTTCTCGCGCCCTCATTGTTGAAGCTCGGTGGATGAGAAATCCGCAAAGATGTGATAGTAAGGGCAGCCTTGACGTGGAATTGCTGTAGCAAATAACGAGTCAGCTATACACGTCGCTAGCAATGTGCGAGGATTACGCCATACCCTGATCACCTGATTGAGTTTGTTGTTCTCTTTGGCCAGAGCAGCATTTCTCTCGTCTGAACTCTCGCTACCTTCACCGTAATCGTCCGCTGTGTTCTCGTTCGAGCTCATGGTATCCGAAGCAGATTCTAGTCGGTCGAATCGATCCCGCTGGTTGTTAGTTCTCAAGGGGTTGGTTCTGGGCGAGCTGGCCGATGAGGCGGTCCTCGGCGATGGGCGAGGCAGTTGATGCATGATGGCTGGCTGTCGCAGTCTAGGAGTTTCCAAATCAACTGCGATAGCAAGTTGTAAATATTGTAGAGCGGCTATAGCCACGCTGTTCGAACGATCGGTTGTTGTGGCTAGTGCGTGGTATAGATCTGGAGATGCAGGGTTTCGTACGGTTCCATAGTTACAGGGAACGAGAGCGGAGCAAAGTTGCGAGCGGGTTTGTTTGCTGGAAGAGAGGTGGGCTGTTTCCTTGATGAAAGCCTATGTGGACGTTGGACTCAGGCAACAGCCATGGTTCGTTTGTACTAGTATTGTCGAGGGACGTTGAGGTGCCTAGGGTTCGGAGATAAGCTTCGGGTCGCCGATGTAGATCAAGTAGAACCTCACGAACTCAGAGTTGTTGGAGCGGTAGGGTCAAGGAGAGCGGAGTGTGCCCTGGGACATCTGAGAAGCGGCGGTGGATTAGATGGGCTGAGCGGCGGGCAAGGTCAGGCTTAGAGGGAGCTGGCGTGTGACTCTTTTCGAATGACGCTGGGGATCAAGGTGAGGCTGATTGATTGAAACAGCCGAGGGTGCCAAGGCCAACGGGAGCGACGACGCGGAGGTGCACGGCGTAGACGTACAGCTCGCAGAGGGACAACGCAGCAGCGCAGGAGGCTGAAAGAGTGTCGGAGAGAGCAGACGGAGCTCCAAAGGTAAGGCGCGCATCTGTTGAAGCTCCGGCCTGGTGATGAGCGCTGCTGGCCGGCTAGGATGCACGGCCGGTGCGCTAGCAAGGATGCGGGCGCACCCGCCAGTTGACACCTCAGGATCCCATCCCAAGCCTCAGCAGGTATCGGATCGCCGAGCCCGCCGTGTCAGTCAAATTACTTATCCGTCTTATTAAGCAAATGGTGTGTCTTTCCGATAGCGCTGCTTGAACTTAACTAGCCAGGCCATGCTGTGATGCTCCTAGAGCTCGCCAGACCTGTTGGCTTGCAACCGGCCCTGAGAAGCGAGGCGAGGCGGAGAGCGCTCCTGCTCACGTGTTTGTAGCCTCCCGGACGTTGCTTGAGGAGTTAAGTTACTTGTTCGATTCGGGAATAAGAGATGCTTGAGACACCAGTCGAGGGCATGTCGGGGCTTAATGGAACCTCAGTACGACGGAAGAGAGATAAGCGTAGCCTCCACGACAAAGCTTCCAACGTGAGTATCTAGCAATACCTGGGCAGAGTGGCTGCCAGCTGTGCCACCTACGCTTTGTAGTGAACATTGGGCGGGTCACAAGCAACAAGAGCCATTAAGTAAAGACGTGTGTCACGGTTGCTGGCTTCTGGTATGCTGGAGACGAAGGCCTGGATTGGCAACGCTATCATGGTCTGAGGAACTACCGTGGTTAGGATCACAACGAACCGCAGCGGAGCGCGGATGTTTTGAAGGGACTTCACCGCTGTTCGCTGTGACGTAGCGAGACACGATGTGGAGGGCAAACGGCGTATGGGTGATAAGTGGACTTTGAGACGATCGATCATGTCTCCTTAAATCCGTTGTCTATCCACACTATAAACAATCCGAGACGCAACTCTGCGTTCATGCATGATGCTCTAACCCTGCGCGGACTGTGCCGCATATCCAATTACATGATATGAACAAACGATTCGAACACAAAACCAGACATCGACAGCAGAAACAGACCGGCGTCTGTAGGAACTTGTTGCGCGCCATCGTTACATCTACACGGTCGAGAGTCATGACATCACGTAAGAACGGGGACCCCTTTTAATAGCAGGAGGACTCCTTGACGGCACTGCAATACTGACCTAGAGCCAGTTTAAGTGGGCGGAATTCCACTCAGGTGGCAGCGAGGCAGGCAGTGAGATAAGCGAGGAATTATCAAGGCCGGAATTCTGGTTTGGTAGCAGTGACGACCAGTCCGCGGCTCCGCCGGATGGCTCCACATCCATGCTTGCTGAGCTGGACCCCGGGATAAACAGTGGCTCACTCATCGAGGTAGAGCATATCGGTGGCGTTGCATAGGCGGAGGACATGGCGTTTTCCGATGTAAAATAGCCGTCAAAGCCGAATCCTGTCTTGGAGGGCTGTTGCAACTGCTGCATCTGCCGCAGGTGGCTTGAATTCCCGTGGCCAGATTTGCTCTCTGCGGTGCCTGCTCTTGCTCGCTGCTTCACAAAAGACCCGTTGTGGGATGGACGGATGAGATCGAGGTTGAGCGAATGACGAATGTTCGCGGGAACAGAAGTTGGAGCGTGGCGTAGGTCGCCAACATGAAGTGATGCAGAGCTGAAACGAGACGGGTTCAACGGAAGACTGTGGAAGCTCTCGTCCCATGCGGACAATTCCTCGGTGTTGACAGACTGCTGTTGGGGCCACAGATCCACATCGTGATGGCATCCAGGTTCACCGATCTCGGATTGTGCTCCCGAAGAGGACGCCGTAAGGCTCGGAACACCTTGAAGATTAGAATCTCCACTGTGAGATAGCAGTTGTAATTCACCGCCAGATAACTTAGCCGGGTCTAATGGCAAGTCCCAGGCGGTCCATGACGGGTCGGTAAAGCCAGCGGAGGGAATAGCCCAGTCTACATCGTGGGTTGCGAAGTAAGCACCTGTCGGAGAAGCTGACGAGTCACCATACCCAGGTTGGCTTGCTGAGGGAACGTCTGTATTGACCCACGGCCATTGGCGTGTTACCGGTAAGCCAGAAGCGACATCGACGTTGGGCTCATTAGAGCCATCAAAGTGCAGGCCAGGAGCTGTTGGGGCCTGTACGAACCCATAGTTCGAGCGTGACGGATCGTAAGAGGCTATGTCACCGCTCATACCACTGGTGACCGGCGCTAGGGGCAGCGTATCTGCCGAGCGGTTTGAGAAACCAAATCCACTGAATGGACTGTCGTCGTTACTGCTGGGCAGAGTACAGTCCGCATTCGGACCTTGGCCTGCGCCATTCTCTGAGCCGTCGGTCTGTTGTAGGTGATCTCGAGAATGGTAACTAGGGCCGTGCAACGTATGGGCCCGCGGGATCTTATAGGGGACGCCCGAAGTATGAGCCGCATTGTTTAGCCTGTGATAGGGTTTGTGGTGACCATTGGCGAAGACGGTCATATTCGCTTCGGAGTGCGTAGCTGTAAGAGGAGGTCTATGCTTCATCGGGTGGGAGGCTTTCGATAACCCAGTCGGCATCTTCAGATCGTGGTGCTCTCTCTTCATGCCACAGATGCAAGGCAAGCCACTATAACAGCGGCAACTCTGATCGTCTACTGCATGAGGATGAGAATCACCCTCGACTTCTGGAGTACCAGATGCCTCACCCTTCGAACTCCCCTTCGGCTTCTTGTCGCCGCACTCGCACTTCGTATGATGGGACCTGGACTGGCGAGCACCACGGCAGTGCTCACACTGCTTCACCGGACGACCCTTAGGGTTGATGCGTTGGAGCTCGCGATCTGGTGGGGTCATTGTTAGTCCGATCTACAACGACAAAAGCAGCAGTGGCGTTTTCATCGGGCTGCCTCACCTGTATGCGTGCAGCCGCTGACGCGGTGCCCTCTTATGCACGATTCGCATGCCCACTTTTCTCCATCAATAACAGGCATGCTCGATAGGGTATCGGAAAGGTCTCTCGGCGCTCCTTGCTCGAGTGCGCAATTGCAACGGATATTCTCGCCGGCTGGACCGATGAATCGATGGGGAAACGAAGCAAAGAATCTAAATGCAAATGGAGGGGTATCTAATTGTCGGAACACATGGCAACGCCTGGTAAATGCAAGTGGCCGTCGACCGTCGGTAGGGTAAGCCTAAGCAGAACGCGACTAAGAGTTAGGTGGCCGAGCCGTGCACCAAGTGGCGCTGGCCGTCGTCGCGTGTGACCGAGGTTTGGTAGGGCCGACCAGCACTGTAGGATATAGCCTTTTGACTTCTGGTGTTACTGGAAGGAGAGGTGGTGATGGAGGGATCGCTCGAGAAGTGGGAGGCAGAGCACAGACTGTAGTCGAGGTTTTCTTTACGCAGGCGGTAATTTTGTTGTTCTAGGTTATGCCGGCAAGCAGTAGCCGCTTGCGCAAAGAGTACATCCCTGTAACCATGCCGCTACTGCTGTACCCTGCTGTGACTGGACGGTGAACTCGGCAGTGGGTAAGAGAACCGCTTACTCCGTAACTAATCCTTCTAAGCCGCACAAGCGGGGTAGTCCCGATCGCCGCCGAAGCCACAAGCGGGCGATTGCGGCTGTCGCAGCGGCACAACGGCTCTGCCGAAGTCGTTTCATGCTCAAACACCTGCTGCTTGAATACGATCGAGTGCAGCCTGTGTGCGACTGCAAGGGCCCTTGATGATGGGCTGTGGAGATGATTGTGCTCCGTATACGATGCCAAACATCCTGCCATCTCGCAGAGCTCCCGGCCGCACGTTGGCGACCGTTGATGTACCACTCTGAAGACTTGCAACACCGGGCCTGCGCCACCGGTGCCTTGAACCCTGCCGCTGACACTCAGTCCTCTGACGATTTCCGGCTCCGTACGGGCTGCCTGTCACCGGATGAAGAGTCAGTAATTACGGCAATGCGAATTTTCCGCAGAGAATTTCGACCCAGCAACGTTTCGCAAACGGGACCTGACGCAAATCATCACGGAAAGACGCCGCCAAGGCGGGAGATCAGCAAGCAGGCGTCCGCTCCCATCAAAGGGCTTGCGCGATCCCTGAGCCAAGGCTTCTGGGTCTTGGCTGGAAGACGCGAGATCTTTGGAGTTTAGAATGGATCAAGTGACTTGTGTATATAATGCTCCAATTCATGATACGTGCAACTAGACAAGCTACGTCCTCCGCCTTGTCGTTTACTGCCAATGAGAAATAAACCGCCTTCGTCACCCTCGCAGAACCGGGATCCTAAGACGGGGGGCACAGAACTCACCAATCCCCCAAGCGATCAACCTGATGGAAGACTCTTTATTCCAACTAACGGTTCGCTAGTTTGAGTGCAGCCACCACCTACGTGAGCGCTACCATCTCTCTTGTAGATGCCAGGACGGCGATGGCGAAGACGCCGGGAAATTGACATTGATACATTGAAACCTAATTTTTGCGCGGCAATAACGTACGCATGTTGAGTCCATTGGTGAAGGGAAATAGTAAGATTGCAGTCTGATGGCAGGGCGAATAGTATTTCCAATACTGCTAAAATTGGAGAAAGCACCTTCGCATTGAAAAGTATTTCGCTTGACATAGAACCCATCCCTCAGAAATCGTCCATCTGTTCACCGCGATGCACACCTACAGACGATCACCCAGAGGAGTAGACTCTGAAAGTAGCATCAGAACAAAGACCAAACGACCGCACGACAGGAAAAGAGCCAGCCTTGAAGGATCTGTTACTCTTCAGCACTCTGCCGTATGCGCAAAGCTATCCATAGCTTGTGTAATCGTTTAGGGCGGGTTGAGCAATCTCCCATGTTTGGTAGAGGTGCTCACCGTGCCTGTGTTGTCCTTGGGAAGTCGGTGTGATGGTTAACGCTACATGAACGAACTTTGACCGTGCGCGAGGCTTTTATATGGCAAAAAGGCAGCGTTTATATGGCGAGATACACAGCCGATGTCTTCTTCCGAGCAGCTAGTGATAGTCTTGCTCAAGACTCGAGGTGTTCTTAGCAGTGCGAGTGACCTGCTGTGTGAAGTGCCCGGGCGAGGTGTGCCTTCCGAATAGTATCTCCGAATGCGCGCGGCCGGGGTCAAATATTCTTCCAGCGGAGGAGGTATTCTTCCAGCCGCAGCAACGACATGCAAAGCCTCGCGACTCTGGAACCCTGCTTTAAAGTCTACAAGCAATGAATTTGTAGGCACCACGATGCACGAGAATAAGATGCTGTTGTCAACGCTTGATAGCATGGCAGCTTCACCAATGCCGTGCGCTAGGACCAATCGCGTAAGGCGCTTCTTGCCCGACGCGAAAAGGCAAATGAGGAGTGAACTCGACTTCCGCTAACAACCGACACCACATCTCACTTGCGCTCCCGTCATCTCTGTTACCAGCTTGTCCGGGACATCACATTCTCCGCCGCGCTCGGCATTAAAGGACACGCTCTCTAGACCTCCAGACGCGTTCAAAATGGCTTCGGGAGGATCATACCCTTCCCCGACCCAAGGACAGATGTCCAGCGGCGCCGGCATCTATCTCGGTCAAAATGGCAACCAAGCGCCTCAGCAGGATATTCCCAGTGAGTTGTCGCTAGTAGCTGAGCTTCAGCGGGTAACAGCACCGATGATGGTCAGCGGTCCGCCGCAAGCCCATGGATTGCCTACAAACCATCATGAGCAACAAGTGCATACGCCAGTGCAGCAGCATGACACACCGCCTGAGGATCTTGCGCACAGCGTGATGGCGCTGCAGCAGGAACAAGTGTACGGACAGCAGGACGACTTTTCAGATCCGAACTCTAGTTCAGCCCGAAAGCGGTCAAAGGTGTCACGTGCGTGCGATGAGTGCCGCAGGAAGAAGGTATGTCAATGTTCGATTGTCATCTCGGCATCCTTTTGGTGACGACTCTAGATTCGATGCGACGCGACCAGCGAGAATGGACCAGAAGCTTGCACAAGCTGCAAACGTACCGGCGCAGTCTGCCAATTCAGCAGACAACCCATGAAACGAGGTCCTAGCAAAGGGTATGTCCCTAATTCGTAGTCGACTTTCCTTTGCGATGCAGAGAGGTCGTCAGCTGATGCGATCTAGGTACATCAAAGAGCTCGCTGAGCGCGTCGCTCGAATCGAGGCTATTGAGAGGCAGCAGCAGGCCCAAGCTGGCTTTGACCCTGGCCAGCAGGCCGATCTGCAGTTTATGCATGGCCTGTCTGAGCAGTCTCTGTCTGGACTAGCTGGCTACTCACCCCCTCCCGCTCCGTTCATGTCCTCGCGAAAGCGTTCATTCTCGACGGCTGAGGATTTACGCGATCTCACCGGCTTCACCCGCCAAGAATCTGCTCATTTCTTACCGCCGCAAGATCCTCCGCAGCGCCAGATGCATTACGATGACACGACCCTGGGTGCAGTTGAGTGGGATGAAAGCATGGTTGATGAGTAAGTAGTAAGAAATCCTCCACTTGCATCCTGTTGCTGATGTATCAGATGCTATCGTGTGATCCACTCGAGCATACGGCTTCTACCTGATGATAGCAATCTGCTCCGATCTATGTTGGCGCATTGCCAATCGAGACAACTTCGAGATCTATTCCTCATCGCAGTCGAATGCTCAGTCCGCTCAAGTCCATTTTCAAATTTCCCGGCCGACCACGATCTCATGCCGCGCATTATCAATGCATCGCTATCGTTGGAGAGATGCAAGTATGATGATTCCGGACGTTGGTCTACGTCTACCTACGTGCTGTACGTTCAAACGTGCGTACTACTGGCTTTGGCCTCGGACAACCTAGGACCCGCGGCTACTCGAGGGGCAAGTATGGATATGCAGATGAACTGTCTCTCTAAAGCTGTTGCAATGATGTACAAAGGCGGGTTCAATGCGGTAGAAAACCGGGACACTCTCTTCGGCGCAAACGCGGACCCAGCCCGACCGCTTGCCAGGCGCGTCTTCTGGGTTGTTTATATCTTACAGAGGTTCTACGCCATAAGCACCGCCTCGCCGGTGACGGTAGCGAACAACACCGTCCTTCTCATGGCAGAAGACCGCAAGATTCTAGGAGATGAGCTCTACCTTACAGCAAGTAAGTTTTCAATCTGGGCCACTTTTCATCAATATATACAAGAAATCAAGCATATCTCAGCTCCCCGCTTGAGATGTGTGAGTGATTTGTGGCAAGCCCCCAGTGGGCCACTTGCGAAAGAGATTCATTCTATAGTCCTGAAGACATATGGTCGCCACACTGACATTGCACTTTTAGGCCTCCTCTCGGTCGCAGAGCCAATCTCAGTGTTATTAGCCCGATCGAAATCCGCATGGACAGATTCGGCGGATGTCTTGTCATCATTGAACCCAGACTCCAGCCTCATCGTCCAGAACGCAGCCGGCCAGCTTGACCGCATCCGCGAGATATCCGCCCTTGTAAACATCGAGGCCTCCTCCCGAAGTCTTATGAACATGGTCCACCGTCATCTACGGCTCATGTTCACCCGACTTCACAGCGGCGCGACGCCACAGTCGTGCCTCAGCCAGACTCTGCGTATCATCAGCTTGATACGCGAGTCGCCTCTAGCCTCGCCGCTCTACGACCACCACATCGCCGCACTGAGCGCACTCACGCTTGGCGAGCTGCTAACCCAGCCCGACACCAAAGACGGCGCTCAGCGCGGCCTCACTGACCTGGACGACTTCCTCAACCACCGCTCCTCAGGCCGCTTCCCCGGCTGGGACGGCGTCGTGCACGAGTACATCACCAAGAAAAAAGCGTCCACTCTCGGCATCACTTCGCCCAGTATGAACTCGAGCACCATGCTCCAACAGCTTGCGGATGTAGCGGCCGGCAGGGAGGGCGTCGGTGAGCGTCCGACTAGCAGTGGTATGGGGCTGGGAGAACCGTTTGACGGTAAGTCGGTCGATGCAAACGACTCGGATGAGCGCGTCGCGACTGCTGCACGCCAGGCTGCTGCTGCTGTGGCTATGATGGGCTCGGCGCCGTGGGACGCGAGCGCTGCGCTGAAGGCGGGGTACTTGAACGTCGTTGCGGGAGAGGTATAGGTAGGCTGGTGTTCTGACTGGCTGCACTTACCGGTCTGTATATCAGCAAGAAAGAGATGTCTGCCAGATTCTGGAAAGCTGAAAAGTGGAAAGGGGGAAAGAAGGATTGTTCGATCGGTCTTGCCTTTGAAAATGCGCTAGCCACGACTTTGGTCTGTCTTCGAGCCGGCTGCCTTGCTTTCGCTGGAACATCAAGGGTGAGAGCTATCGAGCAGCTGCAATGACGAACGAACAGAGCAAATCTGCATTTGGCGGACTCGGAACAATGAACCGGCAAACGATAAAATCGTTCTGGACGAGCAGCTTTCGTCCAGCGGGCGTGAAAAAGGTCGCGCAATGTATTGAGGACGGACCTAAAACCGGGTATTGGCATTGCAGGTTTCGTGGCAACGGGGTATGAGCCGGGAACTTCTCTCCTGATTGCTGTTCGTCCAGGCTTCCATCACTCAACCGGAGGAGTTTTCCTTTTCAATTGCAACACAAGAGCCAACACAAGTGGATTGCTGTAGTGGACCCCTCGTCCGGGTCAGCTCAACATCTCTCATACTCTGTCATGTACCACTATCAGACTACAAACTATTAATTATTCCCTGAAGCCCATGCAGCCATTATACATCGACGTGCTCCAACGTACAGATTAGCAATGCCCAGCCATCTATATACACCCCTTTGCCCTAACCCCTGTTTTCATCATATAATTAGAACATCATCACCGCCCCGACCAACCCAACAACCAACCCCATCGGCGCCCCCAAGCTCACCGCCGCGGCCGTACTACTCGTCGCCGCCGCCTCACTCTGCGTTGCGCTCGCCTCATCCCCCGCCGTCTCAGACGGCTGCTGCTCCTCTTCCTCCTGCCAGTTCACCCGCGAGCCCGGCCTCCTGCGGCGCTCCTGCAGATCGAATATATCAGTCGCGCCCAGATACGCGTCATCGGCGTCGAGTGCCACGGCCCGCAGATACCGCGCCGCGCCCGCAACAGTAACGTTCGTCTCGAAGCCATTGCTGCTGACATTGCGCCACGTCTGGTCCGGCGTGGTGAGGTTGTCGCTGCTGTTCGAGGCGAGGAACGACCAGCTCGCGACGCGGCTTGCGCCGTTCCAGGAGACGTAGACCGTGTTGGACGTCCCGCCGGCGCCGACGTTGGTGGTCGTGCCGTTCGAGGCCGTCACGTTGCCGGCTGCGATCGAGGGGTTGGTGCGCGGGGATCCGGTCCAGGATTGCTTGTACACGCGGTACGAGGAGGTCGCCTTGCCGTCGATGAGGCCGAACTGCGCGGTCCAGAGCGCCTCGCCCTCGGCCGAGAACTCGGTGAAAGCCGGGTCGGAGCCCCAGCCGACCATCACGTTGCCGTTGGGCAGCGGCTGCATGTTGCCCTGCGACTCGGAGCTGATGCGCTGCGGGGAGTTGTAGGAGACTTCGACTGCGGCGGTCATGTTGACGGTGTCGATGGCGAGACGCAGGCCGCGGGATTCGGGGAAGGACTGGTTGAAGTCGGCCGCGCCGTTGTCGAAGAGCGTCATTATGCGCGGCTGCTCCGAGGAGGAGGGCGAAGCCCAACGCGCGTCGTGCTGCCAGGCGAAGTTTGTCGCGTTGCCGGAGGAGAGGTCGGTGAAGTTGTTGCGCTTGCCCCCAAGCTGCCAGAGGACTTCGCCGGTCGTGCCGGAGATGTAGCTGATGCTGTACGTGTGCCGTGCGGAGATTAGGTAGTTGCCTAGGGAGTCCTTGTCGACGGAGTTGATGTGGAAGAAGTCGAAGGCGCTCTGCGCGGACTTGCCGTCGTAGAAATAGGTCCCGGGTAACAGGTACGCTTCGGAGAGGTTGTAGTGGTCTGAGGCCCGCCATTCGAAGAGCAGGTCGTTGGTCTCGACGTCGATTTCTTGGAAGAGCGAGTCCATGAGCCAACCGCCTTGCACGCCATATGCGGTCAGGTCCCACGCCCGGGGCTCGTAGATGGTGATGAGGGCCGTGCCATTGGGGGTAAGCTGGAACTCGTGGATGTCGCCGGGCACGGTGAGGTTGACGGCCGTGAGGTTATAGACGATGTCGTACGAGGAGTTCAGCTGTGCAACACAGGATCAGCCCCACCGCAAAGACACCCCGCGTTAGGAGCGTGTCGAGTGCGGCACGTGGACTGCGTTCTTACCATGTAGTAGTACCCGTGTCCGTATCCTTGACGGAAAGTCTCCCCCGCCCAGAACGTAAGGTAGTCCTCGCCATTGTACTGCTGTATCTTGACATCAAAGGCAGTCCCATACTCTTCTGCGGACCACACGACGGAGAGTGTACCGGCATCCACGATCATCGGAGAAGGATTGGACACTGCAGTGCCGCGAGGCGAGATAAACAGGTGGCTGCCGTTGGACGCGCCTTCCCCGGGCGTGCTGATGACATTAAAGATTGGTGCGGTGACATTGGGATTTGACACGAAGGTCTGGACAGGATATTGGCCGTATGCCGATTGTTGATACCCGGCGTTTTGTATGAAGGCGGGCTCGTCAGCAACAACGAGTGATGCAGCCCAGAGGGCTGTAAAGAGAGTTGAAGCGAGCGTCATTGTCCAGTGTCAGTCGTGTGGTCCACGGGTTGACCAGGTAGATAAACAGCACACGACACTGGACACAACGAAGGATTCCAGGAGAGCGTGGAGAATTCTGGGGAAGGAGAGCTCAGAGCAAGGGAAGGACGTGTCTTGCGAGTCTTGCGTGTCTTACATGCACGAGCAAAGCAGGGCAACCCCCCCATGCATATGGCCGCCATAGTCGTCCTATCTTACCGTGTATTGCTCATGAAGCCCACTCAGACTTCGTTGGCGGTTGGTAGCGCGCCACGGACTAAGCGAAAGTGCATTTTGGAAGAGGGTGTCCAGGTACCCCAACCATGCTGCCGCTTGGGGAATTGGGTGGCGAGTGGCTCAGAGATAAGAGCTGCCTCGTGGAGTGCCAGCGCGAGAAGGTCTGAAACACAGCTAACTTCTCCAACATTCCTCAGCAATGGCTGGGAAGAGGGAATTCTAGCTCAAGGCTCCGAATGTTCTTTGATCCTGCCGCCCTGCAGGTGTTGATCGGAACAAAGCGCCGAAGGCAAGGGCCGCGTCACTGCACTTGCACTTGCACTTGCGGCTGCATCGTGGTGACGATCACTCCAAAAAAGGCTGCGTTTTGGTAGCCCGGGCCCAAACTGTCCGCCCAAGCTTCTGGTTGCTCGTGCAGCTGGTTGCTGGGCGCTAGAGCATCGCGACACCTGCGGCTTCCACTCGTATCCAAGGCTGAGGGGGACTTCATACATCTTGTGACGCAGCATACCTGTAACGGCGAGGGGAAGTTTTTTAGTATTGTTGTTCACATCTCCCATGAGCGGAGCTGCTGTTCGACGTTCCTCCATCGGCATGGGCTCGGGATCGCTTCTCATTGGCTGGCATGGCCTGAGTGATGGAGGCGCGGGAGAAAGGACCATCTCTATGAGAAGGTGCCTTTAATGCCCATCAGCTCTTCCTCTAGTTCCTGTGGCAGCACTTACCAGAATTTTCATTGCAAACTTGACAATAGCCTGCCGTCACATCTTTCTCAGCAAACAGCCGCTCAAAATTGCACCCAGAGGCTTCGGTAACCCTCCAGAAGCTACGTTTCGTCATCGATACCGGCATCGGTTGTGCGCGCACAGTACAACAATACAGTTGGCACCACGTTCAGCTAACAGCTGTATACCCACGAAGTCGACTCAGTCCCGTTTCACGCCGTCCCGCCTGCTCCTCGTGTCTAAACCTTAGTATCGTATCTCCCTCAACCGCGCCTCGTCTCTCCACGATAGCCACAGCAACCAGCAGCGCCACCCGTATCGCGACGCCTATTCGGACGCCGCATCACCTCCCTTCCCCTTCGGAGACCTCCTTTGCTTCGTACAAAGCGCCTTTAAACAAGCTTTGATCCACCGTGATCATAGCGAGGTGCACCGGACGAAGCAACAGGAAGCTCTCCTCTTTCCTCTCGGCACATGAGCAGATATCTCTGGCAATATTACCTCGAAGATGATGTCGAAAGTTTTCGACAGTTTCTCGAATCGGCGGGGCGTAATGCGCGGCACGGCACACAGAGAGCCTTTGGTGGCGAACGCGGAAACGCAGGACCATCCATCGTAGGCAGTCCGGATACCTTAGGGACGTCACCAATCCTGCTGCCGAAGGCTCGCAAACAACCACCAGCGCCGGCTAGCACATCTTCGCTGACACGTGCGGACATCAATTCAAGAGACCGTAATGGCCTGACTATCCTGCACCATGCTGCATCATCCAGTTCGCATAACAGTGTAGATTTCGCCGCAGCGCTTCTCGAGCATCCCCTTGTTGACCTGTATGCTCAAGATATTGAGAATGGTTGGACTTCTTTACATCGCGCCTTCTATTTCGGTAATATAGCTATCGCACGTTCCATTCTACATAGAGATGTACAGGACGCGACTGGCCTTGGCTCTGGCGCCGTCAATCAACATGCTGGAGGACTCATCAAGATCAAGGACAAGGAGGGCAACGGTCCGCTAGATCTGTTCGCAACAACAATCAAGGATCGGACTTTACGGCCAACTGAACCCGCCCACCAGGACATGGAGTCCTCCGGTGACTTTGAAGACGACGTTGCTCAAGGAGATAGTGGCGATGACGATGGCGTCTCGCGCAAGAGGCTTGTTCACCCTTCCACGGACCTACAGGCAGACGAGGTGTTCACCTTCGGCAGCAACAGGAATGTCACGCTTGGCTTCGGAGACGAGGATGATCGGCAATATCCTGAGCGTATCACGCTGAGGCGGCCTGATCACCTCCTGCAGAGGTTCTACCGTGAGCATATTGCGTTGCGACAACAGAGTTCTGGCGGCCTGGATTCATCAGACTTATCGACTTCGAGTCGGTCCAAGCCCGTCTCGGCACTACCGTCTATCATCCGGAGCACTCCGTTGATAATTCAGGACGTCCAAATGTCGAAGCTCCATACTGCTGTTCTGACGACTGATCCGGAATCCAACCTGTACATGTGCGGGCACGGACCAGGCGGCCGGCTTGGTACGGGCGATGAAAACACCCGCTACCAGTTTGTCTGCATCGAAGGTGGTGCGCTCGCGCGTAAGAAGATTGTCTCTGTTGCACTCGGCCAGAATCATTCGTTGGCGCTCTCGGATCAAGGTGACACCTTCTCTTGGGGCAATAATGGCTTCGGACAACTGGGCTATAGCCTTCCGCGAACGGGCTTGCGGGACGAAGATCCGATCTCCACTCTGCCTCGTCAGATATTTGGGCCCCTGAAAAGAGAGATCGTTATCGGCGTGGCAGCATCTAGGATCCACTCGGTCGCCCATACATCGACTTCGCTGTACACTTTCGGCAAGAATGAAGGCCAACTTGGCATTATGGACGCTGATGCACGGTCACTTGAAGTGCAAGACATACCGCGCAAAGTCGCTGCGTCCCTATTTTCTTCCGCTATTGTCTCGGTTACCGCAATAGATCGAGCCACTGTATGCTTGCTTGAGAATCATGAGGTTTGGGTCTTCGCAAACTACGGCTACACCAGGATCACGTTTCCGCTCGACGGCTTCACGAACTACTTCCTCAAGAACAGTTTCCTCACGACGAAATACGACACTTCTCCGAATCAGATCTGCAAAGTTACATCAGGTGGAGACACCATCTGTGCACTCTCGAGCTCTGGTGAGGTCTTTACCGTGGCGGTCAGCAAGCGTCTTGAGGCTGCGCAGGACAGCTCGACCTCTACGACTAACCCAGCCAAGATACGAGGTGCGCTGTCCCAGCCCCAACGTATCTGGTCGCTGAAGAAAGGGCACATGGCCGCTAGAGATGTCGATGTAGACCAAGACGGATCCATCATCCTCAGTACCGAGGCAGGCAGTGTTTACAGGAGGGTCAGAAGAGCGAAGATTAAAGACGCTACAGCCGCGGGTACCGGAGAGTACCGGCCCAAGGACTACAAGTTCTCTAGAATTGCTGGCCTGACAAGGGTGATGGCGGTCAGAGCGTCCTCGCACGGCGCTTACGCCGCCGTCCGCAAAGATTGCGATGTGCTCAAGACGCAGATCACCGTTAGTGAACCAACCCTTTGGAAGGATTTACTGCCGTTGCTGCCTTTTGGCGGACTAGCTTCTATTGAGGAAGCATCGGACGATGACGAGCCGACGCCTAGATTCTGGCGAAAGCCATCCGCAATGGAAAACCTGAAAAAGCGAGTGCTGGCTTCGAAAGATCTGGAGGCTGTGCTGAAAGATACCCTTCAACCTGTGAACGATAACCATGCCTCAGGCTACGATATCGATCTCTGTACAACCGTATCGGATGTACGAATACCTATCCATCAGTTCATGCTCTCCAGCCGCAGTCGTGTCATGGGCCATGCGCTCGAAGAGTACCGGCGGGACGAGTATTTCGCCATACCGGACGTCCTCTGCATTGAGACCAACAAAGAAGGCAGGACAGTCGTTACACTTCAAGGGCTTGATGTTCTGACAATGTTTAATCTGGTGCTGTATATGTACACCGACACGATCGTCGATTTCTGGCACTACACCCGACAACATCCGAAACTTGCCTTCCGCTACCGGCAAGTTCGCGTCGAACTGATGAAGCTGGCTGCATCATTACAGATGCGCCACCTCGAGACTGCTGCACGGCAAATGGTCGAAGTCACGCCGTCACTTAATGTGGATATGGAGTTGGCAATCAGAGAGGCCGCCTTCTATGACGACGGCGACGTTGCAGTGCAACTCGCTGATGCTGAGATCAAAGTGCACAGCGTTTTGATCTGCCAAAGGTGTCCATTCTTCGAGAGCCTGTTCAAGGGTAGGGCTGGAGGCCGGTGGCTAGCGGACAGACTTGATGAGCGACGAGAGGCCACAGACACGATCGATATAGACCTTCAGCATTTGGAGTCGAATGTCTTTCAGCTGGTCTTGCGTCACATTTACGCTGACACGGGAGAGGAGCTCTTCGATGAAATTGTCGCCGAAGATCTGGATGCTTTTCTCGACCTGGTGATGGATGTGATGAGCGTCGCGAACGAACTGATGCTAGACCGACTATCTCAGATTTGCCAGAAGATCATTGGTCGCTATGGTGAGTCAACTGCCCATTAGGAACTGGAAGACATACGCTGATCCGAGTAGTGAATGCTCGCAATGTATGCCAACTTCTCAACGCCATAGCCCCCAGTGCAGTCACCGAATTTAAGGACGCTGGGCTTGAGTATTTATGTCTCAATCTGGAAGCTGTGCTTCAGAACGGGTATGTATTCATACCTTGTTGTATCAAACATCGCTAACACGACCTTCAGCCTGCTTGACGAGCTCGACGAGGATCTGCTTTATGAGCTCGATGTCGTGGTCCGAGAAAACCAACTAGCCTGCCTGCCTTTTGTCCGCAGCGGACGAGCCGAAGCCGTTCTGCTTGAGAAGTACCCTGAGTTGGCGGAGCGCATAGACCGAGCAAGGCAAGCCAAGATCGACTCGATCGTGCTTCACAACAAGTTCGCCGAGTCAGATGCTCGCGTGTCCACTTCATTTCAAGCGCATAGCCTTGAGGAGCTGGCCAACTCGCCTATGCAGGCCAAAAGTCGCCGGAAATCATCAAAGGAACCCAGGCTCGGTTTGTCAAGCCCTATCGTGTCGCCAACTCTAAAAGGCAAGAGCTCTGCAGCGGATCTGATGTTCGATATGGATGACGAGGGCGAAGGGGATGCATCATCCCCCGCTACTATTAAACCGATCTCCACCACAGCGGACACTACTCCAACTGACCAGCTTCCATCGCTGCCTGCTCCTGCTATAGGGTCTCCGCCAGACGCATGGTATGACAATAGAGGCAAGCCACTATCTCCTGCGCAAGGGCATCCTCTCGGAAGCTTCTCACCGATGGCGCCGCGAACACCAACGGCAGGCCCAAGTCCGGCTGCGCAAGACAAGACGTCCGCTAGGCCATGGGGCGCAGCGCCGCTGCAGTCAACCAAACTGGACATGAAGGACATCATGGCACAAACCGCTTCTCCTCATGCTTCTGGCATTGCTCTCGGGCTGTCAGCACAATCCAAGCGAGACGACCGACTGGCGGGAGCTTTCACCACCAAGTTGTCACAGAAGGAGAGAAAGAAGATGCAACAGACTCAGCAGACTCAGCAGCTGACAAGCCCTGTCACACCGACTGGCGTAGAGCGAGCTCCACCCGAGGTCAAGCCATCATCACCGTGGCAGACTGTTTCATCGGGATCGAAGATTGCTCTCCAGGACGTGCTTACGGCTAAGCAGCCGCCAGCAGCTGCTCCTACCCCATCCCAGAAGCCGGCCCGAAGCGCAACGACCCCTCACCTCACCATGCGGCAAACCGTCGCCAATCCTACCAGCACAGGGAGCAAAGAGAAAGAACCCGCACCCACCCCTCAGCTACCTGCAGCAGCTCACCGCACCGTCTCGAGCCCCGCCAACCCCGTCCAACCACCAACACCTCGACCAGCACCATCCCCACAACAAGCTCGGACCCCCTCATCCACCAGAGCCAAACCCCGTTCCTCCAAGTCCACCCCTCAGCCTCAACCACAACCAACCCCTCAATCCACCCCCGGCTTCTCCATCTCCCAATCCACAGACCCAATCCCGCCGAAAAGCATCCGCCACATCCCGCTCCCCGGCCCCGCCCACGGCGAAGCGAGCTTGCAGCTCTCGATGCAGGAGATCCTGTCGCAGCAAGCGGCGGAGAAGATCGCCGTCAAAGATGCGGTGGCGAAGAGGAGCCTGCAGGATATACAGCAGGAGCAGCAGTTTCTGGAGTGGTGGGAGAAGGAGCGGGAGAGGGAGCTGGAACGGGAGCGGGAGGAGGAGGAGAAGGCGGCTAGGACGGCGGCGAGGGCTGCAAGGGGTGGTAAGAGTGGGAGAGGTGGGAGGGGGAAGGGTGGAAGGGGGAGAGGCGGAGGTGTAGGCGGAGAAGGCGGTAATGCAGATCAAGAGAAGGCGAATGCTCCCAGCCAAGCTGTGCCTATAGGACCAGCAAAAGGCCGTGCTAGTGCCGAGCGCGGCGGGAGAGGCGATCATCGTGGCGGTAGGGGTAGAGCAAGGGGAGGGGCTGCTTCCGCTAGTATTAGGGGCGGCGGGCCCGAGGCGTGAACGAGCGGACGTAAATTACTTAGATACCCGATTGTAATGTGGTATAGACGGTTGTAGCAATACTATTGTACTACTGAATCTCAGCCTTACTTCAAGCTTGGACGGGTTCACCATAAAAGGCCCTTGAGTCTGTACAGCTTCCTCCGTTTTACCTCGCCTACCCCGGCACTCTGGTGTCAGCAGGACCATCGTCCCTGGAAGCATCGTCCCTTGCAGCTACTCGAGGCAGAAGTCTCTCGGTATTGGACTATGTCTCTTGGCCCAAGAAGCTGCTCAGATGGTCACGTGTCATATCCTGGTTCGGCGATGGGGAAACCTCTTTTTCCAGCCAAGCTCAAATTCTCCCCGCTTGTCCTCACCGTCTGCACTCCTCTGTCTCGTGAATTCGATGGCAGTTATCATCGTAACGAGGAGCCCTTTACGGGCATCATCAGCTCGAAGACACCAGGTAAGCGACCCCTCAGTTCTCCATCGAGCACAACCGCAAACACTCACTTGATGAGTATGCCTTAAACAAAAATTGTTTCAACCCCATATGATCACCCAGTGATTAGTACGCGCATATATACCTGATCTATCTATAGTCGTGCTTCTGAGTTCTTACGCAGTATGCGAAAGCAGAAGCTAACGATGTTTCAGGCACGGGTTCCCGGCGTGTGACGTGCTACAAGGAGGAACAATCTCCGGCTTGTGATATGGAGCGCGTGTTATATGGGATACTGTGCTAGACTCTTTGGATCGAGCCGTGGGTATACCGAGCGGCAGTATCTGTCCTGTGCGGTAGGAGCTGTGTAAGTCGGCTCGTCCAGCTTGGGAGAACGTTTACTGCTGGTTTCAAAATGTGCGGCCGTTTGGAAATGAACTTTAACCACCCCCCCCCTCGATTGTCAAAAACCAAAACCACCTTTGCACAACGTTTGCACAACGGTTCAACGCTTAGGATAGAAGTGAATACTTTTAAAAGATGCAGCACAGCTGCAGCTATTTAATAGTTAGAAATTAAGAAGACTAGCGGTGTTGCGTAGCTAATGATTTACTAGAATACGCAGTTTCGTAGTGCACTAAGTTTTCTTCGAAAGCCCGCGCGCACGCGGGGCAGCAGCGTCGAAGAAAATTAAGTGCACCATAAAACTATATATTAAAGTAGATTGTTAGCTATATAATGTTACTCATTAAATAGCTCCAGCTATGCTGAGTCCTCCAATACTATTTAGTTATACCCTTAAGTATTGGATCGTTGTGCGAACGTGATTTTGGTCTTCGACAATCG